ACACTTACCTCGGGCTGCACAAGATTACACACAAAGAAAATTAAATTATGAAAAAATAACACAGCGTAAAGATCAAAGGATTTACTAAACATGTTAAAAATTATATAGTCAATGAAGCATGTTTGGAATGAAGGCGGGATAAATCATTTTAATAAACAAATGTCGTCCTTAGACTTGATTCGGACAATCTTTTCGTCAGCCATCTTAACCAATACTTTACCGTCCGTCGTCCACACAGAGAGGTTGATTAGATCTCTTCTTGCCGAGTCGAATAAGATCTTGTTCACTAAAGTAAGGTCTTCATTGATGAATTTCTTACTTCCTTTCAAATTTCGCCGATGTTTTTAAGACCTTCAGCTTTGACTGATATGACAAGAATTTAACTATCATAGCACGTGGAGTTGAATCATTCCTTTGCTTCCCAACTCGATGTGTTTGATCAATTTCGCTTACAGCTACATCGCACTTCAAACAATTTCGGCAGAAATCAACAACAGCGTCGTAGCAATTCTCCCCTTTCTCCTCCGCTATACCATATATTCGAACATTACACCGTCTCGAGTATTGTTCATTATCATTTGCATGAGACTTCACTCGATCTAACTGAAATTCCAATTCAGCTATTTTATTTTTTAGAGGTTGAACGACCTTGTCAATTTCTTTATCGACGACAGACTCGACTGTACCGCACACCACTTCGGAGACGATTGTCTTAGTCGTCAATACAAGCATATCTTGAAAACCTTTTGAACTTAAGAAACTTTGGAATTGCTGTGTAATTGCTTTATTCACTAAGTCTCCAAACGCATCGGACTTAAAATAAGTATCTAAATCTTTACGCGAATGACTTCGAGTATTTACGCGTCCTTCTTCGTCCCCCATCTTTCGGCTCTCGCAACAACTACACGAGCCTTTTTAATGCTTGCTATACAGGGCTGCTACAGGATTAATAAGTCAAACCATGATGCCAAACACTCCAAACTTGAGCTTAAAAGAAGAATAGCATCGAAACAAGCAAAAGAAAACCAAAATAATTTTGAAATATTTGTCTTGACCGGGAGCAATTTAAATACGTCTTGCTCCGGCTGACAGCCTCGATGTTTCAAATCATCTCACACCTCGCCAACTATTGTGACCTTTGGAAATTTTGAAGAAGAGAAAAATTGTCGCTGTTGAGTCTCTTACTGAATACTGAACACGCGTTTGACATATGTATATATAATCATCAAGAAGAGCTTACTCTTAAAGTTATCATGCCTTCAACAAACAAGTGCTCAATTAGAATTGATGACAACCTAGTGTACGTGTTCCTTTCATGGCACTTCAAGAATATTTTGTAAGCTGAAGTTAACAATCACCATGGGAAACGCGTACCAAGGTAAGGTTCTCTATTATTAAATCTGTTAAACCATTTATCTGAGTAATAGGGGCACCGCATAACAACGGCCCGATAGATCGCTCAATGGTTTGTGTTGGCTTATTTGCGCACAATTTAGTATAGGAGTTTCAAATCAGAAACAGAATTGGACTTGACTTCATTATTTGGATTGATGTCTAGTTTAAGCAGCTTGACTGTTACTGTTTAGCCTATTCCAAAGTTGGCGGATTCAGTTAGACATCGTGTAAAAACGAACATGGTGTTTTAAGTTCGAGAACATGTGCGCGCCTTCTGTTTCAGAGCGTTATTGATTGTGAATATGAACAGAAGTGAACTAAAATAAATGTAAAATTTTATGCAACAGATATGTAAAAAGATTGTTCAATGAACCTTCCAACTTTATTGAAATACTTGATACTCGTGTGAATAGGTAAGAGGGCCCCCTATACCCCTTCGCAATATGCTTTCACGTAAAAATATTTTTCCTTTTCACGAGTCACGAAAAATTGAAAAAATTCCTTCACGTTCACGGAAAAATCGAAGCGATCACGTTTCACGTAAAAATAAAACAAAATTCACGAATTATTATAGGATGTCTTCCTTAATTGTAGAATCGTCTGTACTTACCTCGACATGCTTTCAAACCTCCAACTATGTCGAAAACAGGCTCCTGTGCATCAAGTACTTCAAAAAACGGCAACAAACCGTATTTATACCTTGGAAAGCTGATCACACAAAACAGATGATTCACGAATCACGCATATTTCTATCTGCCATTCACGGGTCACGGTTAATTCGAATCTTTCCTTCACGTTCACGTAAAAAGATTGGAAGTCATACTATCACGAATCACGGATTAAGAAAATCATCGATCACATTCCACGGCTAAGTAAAATAAGCCCATCACGCTTCACGCAAAAAGTATAGGGGGCCCTCAGGTAATATATTTCCTTGTTGAAAAGATTAATAGAGATGTTCAGTCAGAAAGATGACTGGATATTTAATATCAGTTCAGCACAAGGTGCAGTATATACAGTAACAATGAAACCTATATACAGTAGCAATGTATGTAGATGGTCCCTTTCGGAGTTAACCGTTTTAATCATAAGCGGTTCAGATTTGAGTGTTGGGATATTTAACGTATCCCTTAATTCTGTCGTTATATAAGATCTTTGGCTGCCACTGTCCTAAATCGCTCTTACTGAAATGCTTGTTTCCGGTGCATCTGAGTTATATGCTTCCGCTTGTGCAGTTTGTAACAAAATGGAAGTACCATTTTCAATATTTAGAGAATGAGATTTTCTTTCCTCATAGACGATTTGCTTGTTATCTGGGGTTCCATTGTTTACGAGGGCTGCTGCACTGCTGCATCCATTTGGGGAATATGGTGGTTTGCTTGGTGGTTTCGAGGTTTTGAACTCGGCATGTACTGTAGGCTCTTTCAAGGGCTTTTAATTCAGACTTATCCAGTATTTTATCAAGGGTCCATGTGCTCCCCAATGCCTTCGCAACGATAACACGCATTGCTTGTGGTAGCTTATTCATGAGAATTGAAATCATTAAATTCCCATATGAACCTGAGTTGACTCCAAGGCTTGTAAGGCTTCTCTGACTGGCAATTGATTTGCAATGCGCCCCATTGACTGGCAATGCACCCCACTTTATTCGTGAACTGCACTGTCTAATCTATTACCTGTGGTTTAGGAAACCTCGCTATGGTGCAGTCGGTTAGTGCTTTTATGGTGTACCATACTTCTGTTGGTGATAATTACTGCCGGACCATTTCAACTTTGGTGACAGTTATCCATCAGATTTAATTAATCAAGGACATAGGAGTGCATGTGTTTGTTAAATTATCTAATAAGAATGTTTAGCCATGAAGGTGACTAGGTCTTTGATATCAACTCTTCACACGGTACCCTATAGTAATTAAGATTACAGGATACCCTAGACATGCCTTTCGGGAGATCCGCTGTAACTCGATCAATTTTAATCCAAATTCCATCAAATTTTCACCAAATGTAGTTAGATAAATGTAGTATAAGATGCTCTTATCATATTTACGAAAGAATAAATACTTATTCAGATATTTGCCGAAGTCTAAAATTGCGGTAGTTCTGCGCCGTGAAGTTAGTTAGACGCCGGTTTTACTCAAATCCTATAAAAATATCAATTTTACTCTTCTCAAAGGTTGTTCTAAAATACGGTGTTCGCGTCTTGTAGTTGCTTTAGGGGTTCATGAGTTACGGCATATTCATTCCTGACCTATGCTATATTGCAACTAATTGACAACAAAAAGCTTGTAACTTGCTTATTATTTGAACAAAAAACTCGCGCGCACACCGTTTTGTAGCCGAAATATGTACCTATGCTGTGTGGAAATTTGACAAAAATCGGTTAAAACGCACGCTTAACAAACTTTATTTAGTGCGTATATTCTACTCAAAATTCAAGTGCCTCAAAAAGCGCTTTGAAAATTTCGCGGGTTTTCTTTCAGTGTAATCAGGTACTGCGCCTACTGTGACGTACTGTCATTATAAAGTTAATCCGATGACAGATAACGTTTGCGGCAAGATCACAATATATAATCAAGTCATGCCTAAACGAAAAGGAAGACAAACCAACGCGCCACAAATTAAAAGCGCAGAATCTCAAAAGCGACAAAAATGCACAACGATAGAGTTCAGCTGATGGCGATGTGGACCACAAAGAAAAAGATGAAAGATAAAGTCTTAAAGGGTAAGGAAACTTAGTTTATCGCATTTTGATACGACGATATTTTGCTAGTTGACGTTATAGAAAGCCATGCATTTGTTTTCTCTCTTCAGTTACGATAGAGCAAACTTTATCAAGAATATTGAGGCTCATGGTGTTGAAGATTGGCTAAAAAAGCGTGGTAAACCTCCTAGAATTGTACGGTATTTTTTTATTGTTGATAGGCACCCGCGCTGATCGTAAGTTTACAATCAGTTATATACATAATTGCACCTGGTTCGCTGGATTTTTGCACAATTTGCGTTTTTAGTACGCCGCGCATCGTATTGTTTTTGGAAATAAAAGGCTTTATTGTAGAATGTCATTAAATTTTCGTTCATTTATAGAAACAGGGAATTGGTCCCAAGGATGCGGCTTATGGATATCCTGTCGAAGTACTAAATTTCCTGAGCGATATCGGGGTGATGTAAAAGGAGAGAAAGAGAAGCGAGTTTGATATTCTGTACGCAAAGCCAAAGGTCACTATAAAAGCCGCGCAGAGAACGAAAGGGCTAATTCTAATAAAGCTTTTCCAGTTTTCCGGTTAGTCATGCACTTGTGTGTAGACTATTATAGTGTTAGTCTAATATGATTATGACTAGGGTACCTGCAAGGTAGGGATTGCTGCGGGCATTAAAAGCAAATAGTGATGATAAGCACCTAACAAAAGTACGATCTGTAAGGTTGTATATTAAAGTTGTATAATATTAAAAAGTAGATATGTGGAACTCTAAGAGGTGAAATATTTCAATGAACAAGGTTAATATACTAATCTAACATAACTTGAAACAAAATAAGAAATAATGTGTCCAAGCACAATTGTATGTGAGCACTAAATTGTCCAAGCACTTAACTATTTTCTTATTTGTCAGTTTTTTTTGTCCACCGAGACAACGTTTTTCTTGGTGTTGTAGCACACAGTAGCTTCAACGGTTAACAGAAATTCTATTATAGAATCGTCATCTAACGATTCAAAGCTTTCCGTGGAACCTCCAGCGACTTGACTTGTGTAAATATGATACAGTTGTTTGAGTTTGTCTTCAAACAGAAGCAGAGATATTGTATTTCCCGCCTTCAAGAACATGACGTTTGCGATTAAACGCTGCTGGCATTTGTGGAATAATTGCGCCAAACCACACTCTGCGCATTTAACCAATTGTTTTTCATCATTTCGAATTAGTTTCGTTTGGCACTTTTTGCAGGAAGAAAAGCGCTGAAGAGATGAAACTCCTTCTGCAGGGCATTCGACTTTTTCTGTGTTCGGCAAGCCTTCAGCATCACCGTCCTCTCTATTGAAAATCAATAAAAAATATCAAGCCATAGCCAACTTTACAATATTAGGACAATTTATATAGTCTAATAGTAACATTTTGCACGAGGCGTCAGGCGAGCAAAGACACCAACTGAACACGAGGCTCAAATACGCCGAAAACAATTTTTAACGGGCCAAAGTAAAATGTTTTTCTATATCTTAAAACCTTAAACCGAAGCAAGCAAAACAATAAACGATATATACTAAACTAAATTTACTTACAATTTTATTGAACCAAGATTTTGATGACGTAATGTTATCATTACTCAACCGCGCGAAATATACCAAAGAATGATTGACAGAAACGCCCTAAGCATGCACTCATTCACGGTCAATGAAGGGCCAGCCTTGGACTTGAATTATGTAAACACAACAGGCCACCATGCAAGGTTATCGGTCAACTTTGACAGTTTGACGAATTATCTATCTTGCCTAATGGACAAATAATTGACATTTTTGCTCAAGTCCGAAATGAGATTTACTTAATCCGCTTATTTTTCGTTAAAAATGCTCATTATCTCTCCATTCGACGTAATTAGTATTTTATAATTACCTGGGGTGCAAATTGAACTATTTTTATACTATTTTTAATACTTTCGTGACTCTTTTACCAATAATGATCCAGTACCACCAGGCACCGGACTTGAATTATGTAAACACAACAGGCCACCATGCAAGGTTATCGGTCAACTTTGACAGTTTGACGAATTATCTATCTTGCCTAATGGATAGATAATTGACATTTTTGCTCAAGTCCGAAATGAGATTTACTTAATCCGTTTATTTTTCGTTAAAAATGCTCATTATCTCTCCATTAATTCGACGTAATTAGTATTTTATAATTACCTGGGGTGCAAATTGAACTATTTTTATACTATTTTTAATACTTTCGTAACACTTTTACCAATAATGATCCAGTACCACCAGGCACCAATAGTGACTCTTCCCACTATATTAATAGTCAAACAAATTGAAAATCAATAAAAATTATCAAGCCATAGCCAACTTTACAATATTAGGACAATATTGTAAAGTTGGCTATGGCTTATATTGTAAAGTTGGCTATGGCTTGATATTTTTTATTGATTTTCAATTTGTTGACTATTAATGTAGTGCGAAGATCGCCTGGTGGTACAGGATCATTATTGGTAACAATAAAAAATATCCATAGCCAACTTTACAATATTAGGACGATTTATAAGGTTAAAATCTCTTACCTTTTTAAGGTTTTATAGTCTAATAGTAATATTTCGCACGAGGTGTCAGGCGAGCAAAGACGCCAACTGAACACGAGGCTCAAATACGCCAAAATTTTAAAAGGGCCAAAGCTAGTAAAATGTTTTTCTATCTTAAAACTTCAACTGATTAAAAATAGTTTATAAATCGAAGCAAGCAAAACAATAAACGATATATTTCAAATACGCCACATACAAATACTATCTGTCACACGTCGCACGAAATGCTAAACCAAATATCCAGCCACCAACTGCGCTAATATTACACGGTGTATATAGCGAAACAAATTAAACTAAAAAATCAGGCAAAACAACAAACAACTGCCAATCTTGCGCTTATTGAAAAACAGAATATCGGTTGATATCTCGTACCTTTTACCAAATAATGATCCAATACCACCAATAATGATCTTCGCACTACATTAATAGTCAATAAAAAATATCAAGCCGTAGCCAACTTTACAATATTAGGACAATTTATAAGGTTAAAATCTCTTACCTTTTTAATGTTTTATAGTCTAATTCGAATCTCTTTTCTTCGCAATATGCTAATACGTTCCAAAGCGCGTTCAGGAACAATATGAGCACAGAGCACGCGTTGAACAATATGCCAATACGTTCCAAAGCGCATTGAACAATATCAGCACAGATCACGTGCACTGAAGTGAGACAAATTTGAGCTGATTGCGCATGTGTAGTGAGGTGAGACGGATTTATGAAAACTGCGCACACAAATGCGCACGACCACAATTCCATGCGACGCTAAAAATCTTCTTTTCTACTGCCTACCGCACAAATTAGGCTGCTGCTTCGCTCCGCTCGCTTCAGGCTCGCTCGCTACGCAGCAATAATTAGGTTTAAAAATAATGTTTTAAAAGGCATTGTTATATTATGATAAACATACTCATGTAAATATACTTACATATTATATTCTATTATTATGCTAGTAAATATTAGGCAAACTGTTCTAAATTATGGCCTTTATGGGCATTGATTCATCTCTACAGAATGGTTTTAGGGTCACTTTCTGCCAGTGATTTCTTTTTCTCCTCTGTGAACAAATTGTTGGTCTTGGGTTTGAGTTTCTTTCGACGGCCGCAAAAAGGGGTTTTATTGCTTTTGCCAGAATCAGCTTTTATTCGCGGCATTTTTTCAGCAAAGATTTCAGTGCAAGAGAAATGTGCGTCTACAACCGCATGTTGTGATAACGGATACGAGGTGACATATACACTAATTGAATTGCACAAGGTGTCGATTTTCTGTCAAACATATTTCCCGCCAAACATATAGACTTCAATTGCGTTTTACTAAATAACCTGTTTAATTTTAAAGATACTAATTTACATATTTTTCCAGACGACAGGTATGCTCAAAAGCAACAAGAACATGTAAAGAAAAAAAAATTCAAATTTTTTACTTTCTAGGGTATCCTGTAACCTTAAAGCCTGTTTAACTACAGTACGACCGGAGAGCTTTGTAACTTTACAGCATGGGCGAATTTACTGGGGGGGGGGGGGTAACCCCCCTCTAGAATCTCTGTAACCTATCCAATAAAGTGGGTAACCCCACCAAAATTTCGCTTCACCTCTTCTATTTTGTGTGAAAGGCATTAACCCAAACACCTAACCCCTGCCGAAGCTCACAGAGCGGTGCCGCTTGCACCCCACCAGAAATTGTTCTACCCTCTTTTTAAATAACTGAAATTCCGCCCTTGCTTTATAGTGAGTACTGTACATGCTTATTTAGCCCGCGTGCAGGCCCATCGAGGGAAGAATAGTGGGCCTGCAAGGAAGACCGGGTGTTTTGTAAAACGCCCCTTTTCATAACACGCCCCATTCGTGTGTGAATTGTCAAAAAAGAACCAATGACAGCAACCCAAATAGTATTAAACAATCTCGCATTAAAATGTTGCGGGGTTTTCTCTGCATATTCAGAATAGAACAATGTGTAAATGGCTACGTTTAACTCCAAAAAAGCAAGTAAACCAGTCAGCTTCAAATCATTGCCCAATTTGCAAGTGCTTATTTTCACTTATCAGATCGTATGGGTAGTTCTTGTGGGCGGAAAGTAGGAAATTTATTTCTGTTATTTAATTTGGTAAAGAACTCGACAAAAGAGGAGAGATTTCAGAGTCCAGATCGTTTCAAGCGGCAACTACCATCTTCTGTTTCGCCCTCTCGGAGAGGAAGCCCTACAAATCGTAAAGTGTTTCGGATAGGCTTACATGCAACTACCTCTAAATCTTTACCACGAAAAGCGTTGTTTTCTTCAGTGTACGTTGTTTTCTTCAGTGTAACAGAGTCAACATGAACCAAAAGATAATTTTCTTAATTAAGCAACATATAAACGTATCAAATTTGTTGAAATTAACGAAACTCAAGTATTAAAAGGTTTATACTATATGCCCCCGCTGGCATAACGGCAAAAATATCTTTTCCTTCAAGTAAACAATAAACGGCCGGTTCTTGCACTAGCTTTTTTCACCGGAAACATGACTCAGTAATCGTCTTCAGCAAACAACGGTTCATGGAGCAACATCAAGACCGTTAGGCGTAACATCCGGAGTGCCGCAAGGTTCCATACTTGGCCCATTGTTGTTCCTATTGTGCGAAAACCACCTCGCCAACACCGTGAACAATTCAACTATCGCCACCTTTGCGGATGATACGAAGATCTTCAGAACCATAAGCTCCACATCCGATGCATCCTCGCTACAGGAAGACCTTACGAACTTTGAAGTGTGCTCCAGGAATGGAGTTGGTCTAATATGCGAGTTGCGAGTCTGCGAGTTGCGAGCTGCGAGTCTGCGAGTTTCGAGTCTGCGAGGTTGCGAGTCTGCGAGTTGCGAGTCTGCGAGTTTACAGTGGGGACTTATTGCCTCGAAAACGCTCACTTAAAAGTGTAATTTTGTGTGCTTTTGACGAATTGATCTTATATTTTATACTTTGACGTTTCACTTTTTCGAATTTTTCAAATTTTGGCGGGAAAATGACGTCATCCTTTTGGCGCCAATATTTTGTTTAAGTGTTAAGACTTCCTTAGTTAATTTTTCAAAAGTTAGATGTTGTGTAAATTTCAAAACCGAAAATATAATTGAATTATCTTGATTCGATCAAGAGTTATAACGGATGGAACGTTCAGATTTCGGCCATTTTGTTACAAAAAATAGCCCAAAATGGCCGAAATCTGAAAATTCCATCCTTTATAACTCTTGATTGAATTAAGATAATTCAATTATTGTTTCGGTTTAGAAGATAATATAACCACTTATTTTAGAAAATTAACTAAGGAATGATGACGTCATTTTCCCGCCAAAATTTAAAAAAAATTCGAAAAAGTGAAACGAGAGCATTTCTTAGAATGAAAAGATCTGTCAAAGTGTAAAATATAAGATCAATTCGTCAAAAGCACGCAAAATTACACTTAAGTGAGCGTTTTCGAGGCAATAAATCCCCACCGTAAACTCGCAGACTCGCAACTCGCAGACTCGCAACTCGCAGACTCGCAACTCGCAGACTCACAACTCGCAGACTCGCAACTCGCAGACTCGAAATATAGCCGACCTCC